ATACTTTTTGTCCTTTAGTTACAAACAGAATTTTTGGTATTTCCTGTCGATTTTGCTTCTTTGGTTTCTGGCTGTGCCAGCAATCAAACCCAGGGCCACCTGCATGCCAGGTAAGTAAACTATCTCCAAGTCTCATCTGTCACCCTATTTTCTCTCTTTTACAGACCATATTTCACCTGGTTTTGATCAGATAGTATGAAGTGAAGTGATCATGGATATTATCAGTGCAGTAAAGAGATTACATCAAATTTATGGAAATACCATTATTTCCCTAAATTCTTTTCTAACAAAAGACTTTTTTCTGTTGTAACAATGTGGCATTTGAAGGCATTTCCCACCCAAAAGACAATTACTAAGGGTCATACTTTGAAAGTTAAAAAGTTTAAGTCTTTCTAGTGCTTTGAGTTGAAGAAAAGTCATAAAACAGAACTCTGGAAAAGCTGCGCCAAGTGCCCTTCAACCTCACTGCACAGTTATCCTGAGCAAGCCACAAGCAGGGACCACGCAGGAAGGCAGTACTGGGAAACTGGGAAGGCAGCGCCGGACGGTGGCAGTAGGAAGGCAGCATGCCAGCCCTGCCCAGTGGCACTTACCTCAGTGAAAGCACATCAGTCTTTCCTCACCTTCCATTTTATTACATGACCAAACTTCTCTCCGTCTCACCTCTTAAGAATTAGCTCCAGGGAAGGGTGTGGAGAAAAGTCATGTGCAACCTCATAAAAACAGCTCATTTCTAAACTGCTGCCAGGCATACATGTTTTATGAGTCAGACCTCAGATAATCCTTTGATTAAGAAGCTTCTTGATTTTAAACGCACAAGGCTGCCAACAAGGGGGGCAAGCAGCTCCAAGTACATGCTGGTTTCATTCCTTGAGATGCTTACAAGTAAGGAGACTCTTTTCCCTTACCTTTCACTCCATCTTAAGGATGTGTGAAAGAGCAGGAAAACCCAATCGAGGTCAGTCAAGTGCTTGGTCCATCGATTCTCTTTTACAGAAATCCTTCACCCCAACTTCACCAATTGGTCATTCAAAACTCATTTAATGACTGTCATCAATGTTTCAAGCTCATGCAAAGACAGTAGATACAAAGCAAAAATCCAAGGTGGAGACAAGGCCTGGGACTGTGACTCAAGTGGTGGAGAGAGCACAAGTCTTGCCATGTGCCAGGCCCCGAAACCCAGCTCCACATGGAAACCTAAGTACTGCTGGGTGTGGCCCCAAGAACTGAAAAACAAAACGAACCAAAAATTTGTGTGTGAGAAAATAGTTTATGTCCAGAAGTCAGATTACCAGAGGCTAAGAAGAGCTGGATCTCTGAGGAGAGGGAAGGATCAGAATGTATACTCCTTACAAGGCTGAACAAAACTGAAAGATGACAACTTGGTGGTAGTACAAACAAATTAAGAATTTTCCCTTTCCTAGATATGAAAAGCCTGAGGTTTTTAAGACTGGAACTTAAAACATTACACTCATCACCCTCCAAACCAAGGCAGTGTGAGTCAATGATTTCCTTCTGTCATGAGCAGAATGTCTGAGTCCCCACATCCCCAGGCCCCTGGATTTCTATGTTGGGCCCTCACCCCGTGTAATGACGTTAGGAGAAGGGGACTTTAGATGAGAAGTGACATCAGAACATGCGTTCTCTTTCTCTCTTCACCCACACATTTGCACCACAGAGGGGCAGATGAGCACACGATGGGAAGGGAAGCACGGGGGCCTGGCTGTGCGCAGCCCACATCTCCAGTGTCCAGATGAGCTCACATCTCCAGTGTCCCCTGCTGTCCGTGCTGCCCTGGTACCACATACACACAGGCAAGAGGGAATTCGGTGGTTTTTATGTGGCTGGTTTGCATGTAGCTGGTACTTAATAGCAGTTGGAATTTCTTCATAAAACTAAGACAGAACTTCCGAAGAAATGTCTAACTTGAAACTCCCTGACTAAATCTCTCTTATTCCACGAAACCCTGCAAAGGCTACACTCCATTCATTACTGTTCTAGTGAGGAAAATAAGTATTACTAAAGTTACTGATCAGAAAATATTCCTGCACTTGTTTAACAGACTCCAAATGAGAAGGAAGATGAGGGGAAATGGACTAGAGACCAACCTACCATCACACTGGGCAGAAACTTAAGAAAGGAAATCCATACAAAACAAGTGCTTGGGTGCCTTTTAAAATGAACAAAACAGGGCCAGAGCAATAGTACAGCAGGTAGGCTGCTTGCCTTGTTAGTGGTTAACCCAGGGTTCAATCCCCAGCACCACATATACGCCCCCAATACCTGCCAGGAGTGATCTTGGGTGTAGAGAAAGGAGTAAGCACTGAGTACCACTGGGTGTGGCCCCAAAGCCAAGAAATAATAAAATGAACAACAAATTTCACAAAAAGCATTAAAAATGGGAAAGGAATTTCAAAACAACCTGGAAATGAATTTGTGTTATTTGTATTAGCATCCAGCTAATAAAGTTTACCAAAAAGAAACAATGCATATTGATGGTATAGTGTGTAGTGCTAAGGATCAAATTCAAGGACTCACACAAACAAGGCAAGTGTTCGACCACCCAACCTGGCCCGAAGGAGACAATGTCAAACTTCAAAATCTGAAGTGGGCTTGTTAAAAGACCCTTTGCTAAGGCAATGTCATCTGTTACTTCAACTACTTGCCCTATTCCAGTACTTCTTGGCCACTCTAAATTTCCTAGAGAAGTGTTCCCTAAAGTGGACAATGCTGCTCCCTGGGGAGGCCATGGAATGAAGGGGGACAGGGAGAGCAGTAGTGGCCTTGAGTACAATTAGGGAGTATTTCCTGTTTGTTCCTTTACAAAGGGTAGGTTTTCAGGGAGGCACTGATTGGTTTCTTTTCTGAAATGGGGTTGCAGGCCAAACCTCTGTGCTAGAAATTCTTATCCATACTCATAGCACACAATCTGAAAAATCAATTCACACAGATAAATTATTTGTCATGTCAAAGAGTTAAATTTAAGTTGGTGGGCTAATTCTGTTCTGATCAACTCATCCCTCTAACAAGTCCTTTTTAAATGACTCCTGGCTGAGTTTCTTCCCCAAAAAAGGCATTTCTCAAGGGTTCTCGAGCAACGAACACCCAGAGACGCCACACCTTACTTCCCCATTACCACTTAAAATGTTTCTGTTCTTACCAAGCCAATAGCATGTCTGGACTAGTGCTAATATTCCTATCACTGGTAAGAAAAATATTAGTATAATATTTCTACTCATAGATTCCTAAATTGTTAGTCCTCATCCAAAGTAAACAGCAAGCTTTTGCAAACATACCACAGATCTAGGAAAACAGTGAGTGAGGTGAAATAAAACTACAACATAGCAAAGGCTACTGGAAAAGAATGGAGCATTAAAAGACAGTGTTCACATTCCTAAGGAGAATAAGCCATAAGAAGCTCTTTTTATAGAACAGCAAGACAGAGTCTTTAGAAAGTCAGAAGCTACTTCTTACTTGTGAGGAATCAAGTATTTTAGAAGCGGGGGTGAGGGGGGTGGGGGGGCCGGGGGGGGGGGGGAGCCGGAGAGCGGGAGGGAGAAACATCAACTTGACAGACAAAAAGCACAGTACACATTTCCTGTGGAACTACGTAAGAGAACTGGTCACAAAAATCCAAGCAAAGGACTCTCAGTAGGTCTTTAAACTGAAGCGTTAACTGGTTTAGCATAACTGAACGCTAAAAAGTCTCATAATAGTGAAGTGGCAGGAGATATGATCGGGAAAATGTCTTCAAGGGTGATGCTGCCATTTTTATGTATGTTTTCCTCTCAGGCATGTCAGAGTAGGAAACCAGCAGCTGGGAAAATTCCACTGGATTTTATTAAAGAAGCCCTGGTTTTCCTTTAACACAAAATTTTTCCAAATTTGAATTCTCTTTAAGAGAAATAATTTAGTCGCTAGGAGATAAACTTAAAAGTCTATTTCCACGTCATGCTTCTCTATGTACTTTTCTCAAAAAAAAAAAAACAACTAGATGCCAAAATGAGGGAAGAAGGCAGATGCAACTCTGCAGAGGAAAGAGAAAAATATGTACAAACGTTACGAACATTGAAGACAGACCACAATTCAGAAATATCTGTGTTTCAATCCTCTGTTGCAAAGATCTAAACCTGCTCTTTGTAAAGATTATTTTTCAGACTAAACCTGCTCTTTGTAAAGATTATTTTTAAATGGCAACATCTAGAAATTTCCCATTCATAATGAGCTTGGGAAATTTTTATGAAAGGCATAGACAAATTCCTTAAACTACGACAAGAAAATATTTAAATAATTTTGTTTCGTTTTGGGGCTACACCCAGTGAAGCTCGGGGCTTACTCCTTAGCTCTGCACTTAGGAATTACTCCTGGCAGTACTCAGGGGACTATATGGGATATTGAGGATCAAATCTTGGTTGGCTGCATGTAAAGCAAACTCTACCCACTGCACTATCACTCTGGCCCCAATTTAGGGATTTTTGTTTTTATGAACAAATTATACAGGAAAGAAACTTCCAGAGGATAAGAATCAAAAGTAAACAAAAATTAAATTAAAATGGCATTCAATAAAAAAATCCTTGTAATTCATCTAAATCACACCAATACTCTACTCAGAGGGAAAGAATAGAAGCACTGATGAACCTTCACATGAACAGAACTCTGCATATAGGACTTGGGGAGATGCTGCTAAGAGTCCCAAAGTCCGTCCATGTAGTATGGAGGTATCTGACCCAGGTTAGAGAGAGACACTTTCCTGACACTGACAAGATGAAGATGGTGGGTCAGGTGGCCTGTTTGTACTCTTCCAGGTTAGTTTCTAGCAACCTTAAGCTTCCACGTCACAGCCACATAAAGATCCCAGGCTCCCTTTCCCTGCGGTAGATCATGCCATGCAGAGCAGACACAAGGAAGGCTGCAGTTATTAGATAAATATAGAAACAAGGAAAGGAAGAACACAAAGCAAGCTCCAAAAGTGCAAGGCTGCGTGAGCTATGTCAGCTTACCATATATCTCGGATCTACTCTCCTCTGAACTAGACTTTGTCTTCTTGGAGGAGCTATCTGCACAGGAGCGGGAGAAAAGGAGAAAGATATAGAAAACATGGAGACCAATGTAATGGAAAATTCATGGGGGAAAAGAATGAATCATGATCAAGTTAAATCGTGCAAACATGAAGTATGAACATCACAGGTGATAGCACTTAGAACAGTCACAAACAGCACAGGTAATGACATATTTCAAAGATTTACTGAAGAAAAGAATGCAATGATACGTTCAAACAAAACACGTGAATAGTCTAAAAAATTCATTATCTAACTACTGTAGAGACAAAAGCACTAACAGTGCAATAATTTTATTATGAAGCATTATATTCCAATTTGCTAAATTATCAGTGGAGAGGGACACATCAAAGAAAAACAGTTACAGAGTAAGTCACCCTAATGAGACTAGAGAGTCTTTCCAAATATAGGGAGACATTTGTCACTCAAATAGCCGGGCAATACCCAGCTGTATTAATGAAAGCCACTGAGACCTGTGACATAAAATTTTGGTGTCAGAAATAAAAGAATTACCTCTTAGAGGAGACCCAGAAATTAATTACATATTGCATAATAGCACCAACAAAGCCTTCCACACTGATCACTGGAATTTTATTTTTACCTACTACCCAAGGTGACTTATCTTTATTTACTTCTGACTTTTCTCTTTCTAAATAATGTTTATATTGTTTTCAAAATGAAAGCACAATTTATATTAAGTATGAAATAACTTAGATGACAAAAGTACTCCCAAAATTTTTTAAACATTAATGAATTAAAATACTTAAAAACAACTATATCATCTTTATGTATCAGAGACTTTAGCATTTAATTGTTTTATCTTTTATCATAGGAACAAACAACAAATAAAGTAATATGTGTAGTGAAAAAAATTGATCAGTCTCAAATGATAAAAGCAAAATTATCAAAGAATTTTTAGAAATTAAATTCTGAGTTAGTTTACAGGGAGAAAGCAAAAGCCTATCCCTTACGAGAGGAGCTGACTCTAGGAAAGAGCAACACTACCGAGATAGTAAGACAGCACCCTGAATTCAGAGCAACCTTGCCCAAAGAAAAAGTGATCTAACTCGCTTTCTCACTCTGAAATGAGACTATCATTCATTTTTAAATTTGTATCTATTTAAAACTTCAATTTACCATGAATACCACACCTAAATTCTGGTTACAGAAATTTGTGGTTGTTGCCACCTTGATATTATGACATACTACTTTTCATACCTATAGTCAGACTTATGACATGATTATTATCATCACTACTTTTAAATATAGCAGTACCGTCTATAATGACCCTTCCATAGCAGAATCCAGAGTGTAGAAGTTAACAATGTATGTTCCTCTTGAATGCAAGGTCAGATATTACACAGTTGGAAAGGAAAGTCCTAAACCAATCAGCCAGTTGCTCCCTATGTGTGCTGTGGCTATGTTAACAATATTTAACTTCACCACTCTCAGTATTCTTTGTAAGAATAAAGGGTATTTTACCTGTGGGGTCAAAATCATGGGATGAACTGCGCTCAACTTTCTGCTTCTTATCTGTTGGTGACTCTCGGTTCAAAATACTTCCATGCCTAAATTAAATCAAAGCAATCAAATGTTTAGTATAAGATAATCATTAGAATAATATTTTTAAATCCTGATGTGCTTTTCAAAGAGAGATCAACAAACCATTTTATATTCTCCTAACTCTAAATATTTTTTCACTTAGCTTTAAAACTCAGTCTATGCTACATGTAATATGGTAGCGAGGTAGCAGGGTGCTCCCGTTGTTCATGGATTTGCTCGAGCGGGCCCAGTAACGTCTCCATTGTGAGAGTCGTTGTTACTGTGTTTGGCATATTGAATACATCACGGGTAGCTTGCCAAGGCTTTGCCGTGTGGGCGAGATACTCTCGGTAGCTTGCTGGGCTCTCTGAGAGGGGCAGAGGAATCAAACCCGGCTCAGCGGGGCCGGCTGTGCGCAAGGCAAACACCCTATTGCTGTGCTATCACTCCAGCCCACATGTAATACACGTCTACTTAATTGTGTTTTTAAAGAGCTCACACATAACAAGTTGCATTAATTAAAAACTGATACTAAACTTTTTCAATCTTGTAAACGATAGCTTGACTATTTTTTAGTGGTTTTCCTAGTCAATCACTACTTTTTCATTTAACAGAGAAGACGACAGTTATTAAACACATTTCCCAATCTTACACAGACTGTGTTCAGATTTTTAAAAATCATGGCAGGCTGCGGAAAGAGCTTGAAGAGCATGTCTGGTGCACAGGAACCCAGGCTAAAGCCCTAGCCCCACAGATCCTTCTAATCATCATGAAGGGTCATGATGGCCCTGGTAGCCCCCAATACTGCTGGGGCAGCGCTCTCCAAAAACAGGATCACTGTATAGATACAGCAGGAGGAGGACAGTTAAAAACAAATGCTCTGTCAAGTACTGCCTGCCCTATGCTCCCTCCAAGAGAGCACCAAACCCAGAGATACTTTGTTTCCTCTGTCCGAGGCCCAGCATATGGGTCAGGTAATAGCAGGGTGAAGGAACCAAGACTCTAACAAATAATGCTAAGTAACTGAAATGTCAAGATTAGCTCTAGTATCCTGGACTATGTTGTCACTAAAAATGCTAAAAGTTATATAATAACAAGAAATAACAGAGGTCAGAGTGACAGTATAGTGGATAGGGTATTTGCCTTGCACATGGCTGACCGGGATTGATCCTGGCATCCCACAGGGTCCTCCGAGCACCGCCAGGAGTAATTCCTGAATGCAGAGCCAGGAGTAACCCCTAAGTATCGCCAGGTGAGATCCAAAAAGCAAAAATAAATAAATAAATAAAAAGTAACATACTACCTACATTTATAACAATTAGGAGAAAATGATAAAATCTCAAAGAACAAACACTGAAAAAGAGGTATTTAAGGCACGGAAATGAATAAATATGGAGCTATGGATTGGGCACAAGCTTATCTGAATTATTTTGGAATTTTTTAGTTTAGTGATCTAATTTGTTAGTGTTATTTAACAGTAGTCATAGTTACTAACAGCAGTTAATGTGATAAACACATCTGAACTGGCTATCTACTTACACTTTCCAAGCCATTCACACTGAAAACAGTCACAGCAGACTTTTAAAATAAAATCACATCAAAAAGAATGACCTTAAATATTAAAGAAACTTTTAAAATGCTTATATCATAAACATTAAAATGCTGTAAAAACAATTGTCTTCCAGAAAAAATATGAAACACCTGTTATATTTTCAATCTGTAAAACACTCTGAAATTTTTACATTTAATTCCATGCTTTCAAAAGCCACAAAAATCCACTGTAATTTCAAAGAAATACTCCAACAAAAAAAAAAAAAACTCACCTAAGTATATAAGCACAATCGAAAAACTTACCTTATAGGTTTTTTGAGGGGAAACCTGTAACAAACAAAAAGAAGTCATTTCACTTGGAGGTTTAAAATCTTACACCAACAGTTCCAAAGCAAGAATCAACAAACAGGTGGTGTCAGAAGATCACTGTATCACTGTCCTCCCATTGTTCATCAATTTGCTCGAGCGGCCCAGTAACATTGTGAGACTTGTTACTGTGTTTGGCATACTGAATATGTCACGGGTAGCTTGCCAGGCTCTGCCGTCTGGGCGAGCTTAGCTCGGTAGCTTGTCGGGCTCTCTGAGAGGGGCGGAGGACTCAAACTCGGGTCGGCCATGTTGGCTGCGTGCAAGGCAAACGCCCTACCGCTGTGCTATCGCTCCAGCCCGTCAGAAGATACCATATTTATCTACTTATTTTTTTTCTTTTTGGGTCACACCCGATGATACACAGGGATCATTCCTGGCTCATACACTCAGGAATTACTCCTGGCGGTGCTTGGGGGACCATATGGAATGCTGGGAATAGAACCCAGGTTGCCGCATACAATGCAAACGCCCTATCCGCTGTGCTATCGCTCCAGCCCCAGAAGAAACCATTTTAAACAGTCACTATTGTCAAGCTTTAAACTGCAAGCACATCCAAACAATTAGAACAGCTAAAATTTATGGAAGTTTACTAGATGCTATGTAATATTCTAAACTCAATTATCTCATTCAGCCCTTAAAACTTATGAGGAACAGCCAGAGAGCTAGTATGTGTGATAAGATATTAATCTTGCATGCATCAACCCAGTAAGATTCCCTGCACCTCACAGGCCCTCTTGAGCTTTGTCACCAGCCAGCATTACTAGGTATGGCCACCAACCTCTCTGCCCCACCCCAACAAAAACCACTCCCCCGAGGGGAAAAAAATCTATGACTGTATGACCATTTTGCCCACTTTTTTTAAAAAAAGAGGCATAGAAATAGTCTACCGTTAATATACTTTATCTCCCTACAAATTCGAGTTTCTCCCTACACATCATCTCTCCCCGTCCTCAAAAAACCTGGGTCCACTCTATTGATAAGTATCACATCATGACCCTCAATTACTTATGTTTGGCCTCCTAGAAGAAATTGCCACTAGACAATAACCATCAGTTATCTCTTGGTTGGGTGGAGGGGTAGCACAGCAAGTAGGTTGGCCTTGCATGTGGCCAACCCTGGTTGGATTCTTCCACCCCTCTCAGAGAGCCTGGCAAACTATCAAGAGTATCCCACCCGTACGGCAGAGCCTGGCAAGCTCCCCGTGGCATATTCAATATGCCAAAAACAGTAACAAGAATCTCTCAACGGAGACGTTACTGGTGCCCACTCGAGCAAATCAATGAACAACAGGATGACAGTGCTATGTCTTGGTTATGCAAACTGTTGGTTTGCATTTTTTCCTTGGTTAACTTTCTTTTGGAAAGACATAATACAAATGGCTGTAAGAATGTGATGCTGTAAGGGCTAGAGAGACAAGACAGTGGGGAAGGCATTTGCCTTGCACGCATCCAACCCGGGTTTGACCCCTGTCATCCCGTAAATTCCCTGAGCCAGCTGGGAGTGATTACTGAATACAGAGTCAAGAGTAACCCCTGAGCCTCACCAGGTGTGGCCCAAAAGCCAAAAACAAAAAAAGAGATGTTGTTATACATAAAAACTAACCCAAGTCCAAATTTCCTTTTATTCCTTTTTTTCATTTCCGTTCTTTGTGCCAGTCCTAGGATTTAACTAAAGACCTCACATGCAAAGCATGCTCTGACCACTGAGTCACAATCCCAGTTCCTTATCTTCTAAAAACATATTTCAACACGACATATATGTAAAAGGTTATCCCATCTCTAAGAACATAAGTTATTAAGAACATTAGTTATTTTTTAAAGAGATTAACAAGGGCACTAAAGAAATAAACCATTCCTATTTTAATCAGCATGGAGGGTAGTTTAATTTAAAATAACCTTTAAAGTTTTAATTTAAAAGAACTTCTAAAGACTAACAGAACCCAAAGATTTCCCTAAAAGCAACTGCATGCTAGGGGTAGTAAGAAAAGATGGTTCTGGGATCTGGAAAAAGAGGGCAAGGTTTGAGAAAATGCTAATTCCAAATGACAGTCAAATCTTCAGAAATGATCCCAAGTAGTCCATCCTGACTTGGGGGTTGGATGATGGAAATAAGATTTTTTAAATACACAGATGAATATATAAGTTGGCAGAGGAGGAATCCCAACAAAGCTTCTACAGTCAGTAACCTTTGCCACTGGGCCTCCCTGTTCTTATAAAAACTCCGGCTCTGAAACAATGCTGTATGCGTCAGGGCCTGCAATATCCAGGGAGATTCTGGGAAAGAATCCCGGAAGTTCCCAGACTGATTGTACACCAGTTTCCTGAGCTATTTTCTTCTGAAAAGGTAGAGAAAGAAAAGGACACAAATGGAACAAGAAGATGGAGAACAAGGAGCACTTTACAGTAAATTTTATTTATCATCATCTATTCAACGCAGTCACTGAGCACAGATATTTTCTCAGAAAAACTTCAAAAATACAAGTTTCAAGTCACTGAAGTCTCTGATGAAACAACTACATAGATACAGAAGTTTGTGTAGTCTCTCTGACACACACACACACACACACACACACACACACACACACACACACACCCCACACCAATGTTGACAAGGATTTTCTGATCATTTCAATTGTTTTCTCAGCTCCAGTATCTCCGGGTTTTGTAAAATTTCTAGTATCTGATGGAAAGTGAGTTGGAGCTGTCAGAAACAGGAAGCTACAGCTCCCCACACCAGTCCCCAAAACAAGACAGCAACAACCTGGCAGGGGCAAAGTTGTAGGATTAAAGTCATCAACCTACTGGAGATTAAAATGTATCACCAAAATTCAAAGTGGCAAGTGAAAAGAGAAAACACCAAAAGTCAAACTCTGAGGAAAAGGAGCCTTCTGAAAGCCTGGTTGAGACAGGGCATGGCGCCCACAAAAGAGTTTTTAAGATGAGTCAGAAAAGACGAAGTGCTGTGAGCAAGAAAGAGAAGATCATCAATACTAACTAAAAATACAGAAGGGCCTGGTTAAAGGCGGCAAAGAGGAGCTATGTTCGAATCAACAAGACAGGCTGAGTCAGGAGGAGAAAGCATTCAGGGATACAAACATCTTTCTCCACAAATTCCTGTCCAATATGAAAAAACCACGACACTCTCTCCTTTGGTTAGACAGAAAAAAGCTCTACTGGAATACTGACTTGCTTCCTAGCCTATTCAAACTCTGGCTGGCTATTTTAAATACTACACTGATAACTCGGGCATGCAGCCAACAATAAACATGTCCATCTATGTATGTGTGCACACATTTTTCTTGATACCAGACAAAATCAAAGTGTTGATAAAACCGATACCAAGCATTAAGGTCACTGGGAAACAGACTAAATGCCCTCACTCTGGTTATCAAGGTTAAGCATACTCATATGCCAGAAACCCTAAGCAGGGGTCTTCCATGTCACATTTACTCACTTGACAGTGGGGGCCTTTCTTTTCCTTAAATACCTCCCCAAATATCGGATTTTCACACTCCTCATATGCTACCACAGTATAGAGATTTGATGATTTAGTAACCGTAAATCAAGAACTAACATGTATCTGAGTAAAACCATTTACAAGTCAGATTTAGCCAATATATATACACGTGTTATTTAATAACTCGGATAACCCTTTAAGAATGTCAAAACAGGATCCAGGGAGATGGCTCAAAGGGCTTAAGCACATGCTTCGCATGCGAAAGTCCCAGGTTCATTCCCGAGCACTGCAGGGTTCCCAGAGCACGATCAGGAGCAAGCCCCAAGCACTGAGCTGCAAGCTGTACTCTAGCATCACTGGGTGTAGCTCAAAATCCAAAAGATTATTAAACGGAATTTCTTCTGGATTTAAAAAACTGGGAATAGCCCAAGTCACATGTTTTCCTCCTAGAAATTTGCCCTTTATTGATTCAATAAGAGCTTGTCTTTTGACACTACTCCAAGAAAAAGTGTGAAATAAATATCCTACTAAGAACTAGGATATTCATATTCATACCTTAAATGTTACCCCCTCTTTCCTCCGAAGTTTTCCTTGGGTTTAGTTCAGATGGGGAATTTAGGAGTGTACATGTTTCTTAATATGGGACAGCTGAAATAAAGAGGAGGAAGTTAAGGAAACTTTACATACCTTGGATAGTGGTCAAGCTTTCATTAGTAGTCAAACAATGTTAGTTACTAAATTTAGGATTCAAAAAATTTCCATTGTAAGATACATCCTGAGTTTAGCAAAGTCGAAAGGTAGAGGGGAAAACCCATTTTCCTTGGAATTAATGAGATATACTACGATTTTACTGTCATCCACATTAGTGAGGATAGTTACAAGACAACACTCTACAAAACAGATAATTCTATATGGCTCAGCCTCCATAAAATTATGACACACATCCATGTAAAACATGTACTATTTCAATATTGTTATAACTGATGAAAATAACACATTTTTATAACTGTGTTTATAATTGATAAAAATAACACAGATCCGAAGACCTTAAGGAGCAAGGACTCCTGAGAAAAGTTATAATTTGGTTCATATTCTAGTGTTACAATTTAAAAGGTATTTTGGGGTCAGAGAGATAAAACGGGGTAAAGTACTTGCCATGCATGCACACAACTCAGGTTCAATTCCCAGCACCACATATAATCCCTTGAGCAGAGAAGAGTAAGTCTTAAGTGTGGCCAGGTGCAGCCCAAACATCAAAAAAAATTAAAGAGGTATTTGAACTTGAGTTGCTCAACCTGTCCAAGAGTTGTTCATAAAAATCATGGTACTAGCACAAACTTATATGTTTGTTTTGAAAATTAAATTGAAAAAAGAGAGGTATACTCTAGAACGGCATTTCTCAGCCAGAGTTGATATATGGCTCTCTGTAAACCCAAGGATATTCCAAAGGGGCCACAGGTGAATCATGCAAAGAGGGGCCAGGACATGAGACTAGGAGGCCA